ATAGTATTATAACGTATTAAAGAATTTTCACAGTTAATTAAAGCAAGCTCAAAGTATTTAACCTGTTGATATGAAATCATGATGTCCTGTACTCAAATATCGTTTTTCTGTACTTCACTAAAAGATTGTTTTATTGTAGCAAAGTCATAAACAGTGCAAGAAGATACGAACTTGAATAGTGCCAACTGAAAGAACAGTAAAGAATTTCAAAATTTCAATGCAGAAAAAACAAAAGGAACACCTCAGTTTTGATTCAAATTACGAGTATGAAACTTGATGATTATCCCGAAAAATACCAGACACAGAGATTGAACGACAGTTAGATTATAACTTTTCATCCATAAGATTATAAAGCCAAAGAGAAAGGTTTAAAATATAATTAACAAACTTATAAGCTTTATAAATAATATTACGGTAAGAGCTGAATGCTGAAATACCTAAATTTAATCTACATTTAAAAGTTTGTTGTGCTTTAAAGTGTTTAATTATTTGTTATTTCTTAAGATGTCTTTATTCAAGTTTCCCAGACTAGACCAAGATGTAGCGGATATAAACCTTGTGCATAGAAATGTAGAAACGAGGTCGCTTATAATGCAATTATCCATAAAGTTAACATTTCCAAGGATTAGTACTTATGTAATTAATAGCTGATTTTCGAACTCGTCCGAGACATTAACGATATAAACCAATGCTCCAAATTTCCTAAAACAATCAAACTATAATTGTAGGCTTGAAAGCTATCAAGACCTGACGGACGGGCGCCCGGTATATTCATTTCACATGTATGTTTGCATAATACTAATAACCTTATGTTTTGGTGTTGATATCGTATTCATGTGATCTGTGATACATGGTTGTTTCATTAGCAATCATACCACATCTTCTTATTTTTATTAATTTACTTTTTAATTATTATTTTTCCTTATTTATTGTCACCATAACTCTTTTAATGGCAAAACTATTCAAATAATTATGATCAAATGTCCCGTTGGTATCTTTCACCTCTCTTTTGCTTCGACAAGCGATGATAATAACGTTATGTACACCAAAATTAAAAATGCTGGTTACAACCTTTAGTAAAATAAGTAAATCGAGAGATACAGATACAGACTGTCTTATTAACCAATCTAGATGCCCTTTAAGGGTGGATCAATAACAATGTAATTATTAATAACATAACAATCAAACTAAACAACAAACCAATAAGACGATAAGGACTAATTAGAATTAAATTTGTATTGCATTTATAAAATACTGTTTACATAAAATGATAATCCTACTATCTGAAATAAACAGATATTAAGGACTTCCAGCTAGATTTGGAGAAAGAGAAACATTTCTTACTATCTTTGATGAGTTTATTTACTACTTACCATCAGTCTTATATTTGATTCAGTAATGTGTCAGGATTTTCACGAATATGTATGCTTATATTGGTGACTTTGAATCTGTTCAAAGTTTTGATTTTTCTACCCTTTATACCACTTTGTCTCATAATCTTATTAAGAAAAAATTCACACACCTAATTAAATGGGCATTTAAAAAGTCAGAATGCGAATATATATGTTCAAACTCTTTGAGGACATTTTTAGTAACAACAAAAAAAAAAAGAACTATGCCAATTGGACCTGCTTTGATACTATAACTGCCCTTGATTTTTTACTAGATAACATTTTTGTTCGCTATTGAGATTCCGTATATCGTCAAATTATCGGAATTCCAAAGAAGACTAACTGTGCACCACTTATTGCGGACCTGTTTCTGTATTGTTATGAGTTACAATTTATGACTAAATTCTACAAAGACCCATCGAAACTACATCTGGTACAAAAATTTAATAACACTTTTAGATATTTGGATGATATATTGGTTCTCAATAATGACGACTTCAGTATGTACACTAAAGAGATTTATCCTGTTGAACTGACTTTAAATAAAGCTAATATTAACAATGAACACTGCCCTTTCCTCGATCTTGATATCTATATCTTTAACGGGAAGCTTAATACCAAATTTATGATAAAAGAGATGATTTTTCATTTCCTATTGTTATTTATCCATTTTTAGATGGTGACGTTCCCTTTTCACCATCTTATGGTGTTTATATGTCTCAACTTGTTCTATTCGCTCGTATATGTAACAGTGTATTTGATTTTAACGAAAGAAATATTTGAATTACTGAAAAATTATTACACGATGGGTTTTTGATATCACAGACTAGTCAAAACATTTACTAAATTTTATCATCGGTACACGGACATCATTCGTAAATATAAATCAATATGCAGACATCTTGTACGTTCGGGTATTTCATATCCAATCTTTTATGGTAATATTCTATACAAAGCACACAAATGTCGGCATTCACCTCAAAAGCTAAACAAACCTTTAAACAGACTTATTTTTATTCAGGGATATAGTACGATACTGTTGTCAGGTCATTAAAGATGGCATATTTTTGTATTAATATTGATTCACTCATAAGGTCTTTGCGTCGAAAATAAACACATTTATTCTAAAACCAGTTGTTGGCATGATACGGGTTATGTTCTTCTCATATATTTTGTGAAGGTATGATACTAAACCCTAACGAGAGGGATTGTGCTTGATTTTCATATGATGAAGACATAACTGCTAATAATCCTTTGTTAATTTATGTATCATTGTCATTTCGCTTGGTTTCTTTTGTTACCTATTCTGACATCGGACTCGGACTTCTTTTGAACTGAGTTTTACTGTGCGTATTGCTGTGTGTATTGCTGTGTGTTTGTGTATTCTACATTGGCTAGAGGAATAGGAGGAGGGTTGAGATCTCACAAAACATGTATACCCCGCCACATTTTTGCTCCTGTCCCAAGTTAGAAGCCTCCGGCCTTTGTTAGCCTTCTATGTTTTTTTAATTTTAGTTCATTTATATGTTTTGGAGTTTAGTATGACGTACATCTTCACTGAACTAGTAAACATTTTGTTTAGGTGCCAGCTGAATCCGACTCCGGGTGCGGGATTTTCTCGCTGTGTTGAAGACCCAATGGTGGTCTTCGGCTGTTTGCTGCCATTCCCCATTTCTATTCTCAATTTTATGGTAACGATAAAATATTATAAAATCATACTCGCTATTATGATTCAACATCTAATTCTTAAAGTATTTACAACATATTGACACAACTTTTTTGTGCCCTTTGTCATGTATAAAAAATATCTTACGTGCTAAACTAGTTAGTGAAAGTTCTTGTTACTAGTGCATATATTTGTTGTCTCCTCGATAAAATCTTTCCTTAGCATGGGACAATTAAATTAGAGTTGAGTTTACTAGAAAACACATCACCCTTTCAGCGTTTACTACATAAAAGACGTTTTGTATTTACAAAGTGCAATTTAAGTATATACATTTATATTCTAAATCAAAAATGTTAGTGGTCATACAGACTGCAAGTTCACTCGGCCTTCTTAAAGTTTCACCGCGGATGAATGGAACCTATCAAATAGTCATTGATTAAACATTTTCAAAGTGCTTGTATGAAAAAATATTAAAAAAAAAATATATAGGTAATATACCGATGTTCAGCAAACATTTCATATAGCATAAATATATAAAAAGCATATATTGATATAAACCAGACAAATATGGAGCGAAAATAAATGTAATCGCTTGAACTCCAATAGCAGGTGTGTTGACAGGGAAAGCATTTCCTGCTAGGCATACATCACCTATCAATATATCCGAAGGTAAGTATCAAAGTAAGGAACATGCGATATAATACAGTATTTAACGCGGAATGTCATACATAGAGAATATCATAAGGCTTTTTCAATATCACATCCGTATCAACCCAAGACACCAATATAATCCCAAGAGCTCTGCTCGAGGGATTATATTGGTTGAGGGTTGATACGGTGTGTGATATTGAAAACGCCATATCATATACACTTTATTATATACATATACCTCACGTAGATGTTTTTTTATTTGACATGACGTCATACAGATAAGGAGGTTTGAAATGACGTCATACAGATTATAGGTTTGACATGACGTCATACAGATTAGGGGTTTGATAAAGCCTTTGCACTGCAATCTATGACGTAACGTCATACAGATTAAAGGTGTGATAAAGCTTTTGAAACCGTGCTGATATCGATATCATCACGGGTGGCTGATCCAGCACGATTGCCAATGATTGTATTACACATACAATTTATCTGTATTTACTACTAAGTATATAATAAAAGTCATTAATATATGGGTATTCGGCAAATCATTTCGAATACACTACTTTCGTCAAAAGATTACAGTTAAGTTAATGATATTTCATTTTTTTTTGAAAGTTTTTCGGTGTTCATAAATTATTCCATAGGTTTTGTTCAAAACCCTAGCCATAAACTCATTCAATAAGTCATAATTCTCGGTACTTGAAAACTCGGGTTGCATTTCCAAAGGCTCCATTATATAGATATAGGTCAAAAGAAAATTAAGATTCTACGGTCACACATTCGTTCGTTCCTCAGAACACATTGCTATCCCTTTACTGTTTTTGGAATTTAATAAAGACCTTGTGGTATAGATGGTTCAAATATAAACTCATCACACATGACTGACGTACCTTTCCTAATAGACCAGTTCCATGTTTTACTGTTACATATTTACTTTTTAGCATGTGCTGATTTTATGGTTTAATTTTGTTTAAACTTTGTCTTTCCCTACAAAAATTTATTTGAAAGGACGAGTTTTGTTTTAACGTTCAATAATAATCCTTACTTTATTTGTGTGGCTAGTAACAATTATTATTAATATCAACAGTAGTAATTAATACGTGTTATAAAGATGGTAAACACAGTAAGTTACAACAAACTAATCTTCCCCGAGGCCCTAACATACAAATTTCAATGCAATTAAAACCAAAACATATTTACGCATAGTTAAATTACAATCATATAGTTCAATGTATCATTATAAAAGATGAAGCAATTCAAGAAATACATGTAGTAAAAAAAAAATCAAATATGATAAAAAATATAATACAAAAAATCAAGACAATACATTGCAGAGCACATAGGTTCATCAGAACTGTGTCAAGTACTTCTGTGTACTTTATTTAAAATCAAAAGTGTTTTGGACGCATTTTTTTATGGTAGTGCATTCCTGAATACACAAAACATTTCATACACAGCTCAGTCTTTGGCTTATGATTTATTTGTCGTATTTGTAAAGGTTTTTATTTTTACATGTTTTAGAATTCACGCCCAGAGGTTTATTTGGTCGTTATAAGATTAAACTGTGCTTCAATCACATTCTTCAAATCATCATGAGGTTATATTTGTAGATTGATGTAACGTCTTTTCGCCAATTGATTTTCGAGAGGTTGCATATGTCTTTGGTCCACTTCAACATCTTGAGTCGGTCCCAGTTTCACCAAGATTCTGTTGAATTGCGTCATTTGAAGACAAATATTGAAGGTTATTAATACTTTCATGTATTCTTGAATGGTTGGATGATAAATCAGAAGTGTCATTTCTATCTTCGGCATCAGCTGTAGGTTCGTGTTCAACATCTATGCGAACGATGCGTTGCTGCTGTTCAGATAACGGACGGATGTTTATAAATTGTGAAAGGATTGTTCCAATTTCGTCGTAATTTACGTATTGATTATCGCCATCCAAAGACGACTGTCTGCTTCGTCGATGAAACCAAATATGAGTTGTGACAATATACAGGAAGAGTACGGATGATAAAGTTACAAAAATTATCAGATACATCTTTAGTTTGTTGCTCTTTTGTATATCATCTATAATAATGAATATTTCAATAAAACTTAAAGTATGACTGGCAGACAAATTTTGATATGCATTATAAGAATTATACATGTTATAGAATCTTTTGTCTTCATATGTTTGAATTATATTTTTTTCGGACGTTTCACGTTCATAAAGCCAACAGTCCTTTCGGTTTTGTAAAGTTCGCATATCTTATCTAAAAACTTTAAAAATAAAAATAAAAAGATCAAATTTTGTGCATCCAAAGCTTTTTCTGGATTGACCTTCAGCGGGAACTCTAACATTCATGCCGCCGTAGCTAGTACACGTTTCGTCCCAGAGGGAATCACCAGCCTTTTTGTCACTGGACACATTTTTATTACATGAAATATTATTCATATGTTTATTTTCTGCAAATTTACTGGTTGTTGACTATTGATATGTTGGTAACATTAAGGTCTTTCTTCCCCCCAAGGCATTGATTGCTATAGCCGTATTAGGCACAACTTTTCGAAATCGTTTTCAATGCAATTCAACTTTATATTTTATTTGGCCTTCCAACTGTGCTGATTCGAGCGCCACTGATGCGTTTTATATAGACGAAACGCTCGTCTGGCGTACCCAACTTACTTTAAGTTTTGTATCAACGAGGAGTTTTTATAGTAAGTAAATAGTAATAATTATGGTTTTAATTATCACATGATTTTTTTAAATTCTAAATAAGCATTTAAGATACTTGGGTACTTCAATTTCAAAAGATACGATGCAATACCAAAAAAAATTGAACCTACCCACTGGCACAATTGAAAAGTTGAACGACGTTGAACCATATGAATTCCAAATATTTAGTTCGTAAGTAGTAAAATCATATTCCTCTAGGATTCTTGTTATAATTTCTACTTTGTAGCCGGTGATGTGAAATGTTTTCCAACAGGTCGGTAGCATATACTTTTCTGAGGTTATTTTAAACTGTACCATGTTTTTGCTTTCTTGTTCGTTTAGTCTTTTCAATTCTACTCTGTCAACTCTTGGGTTACTGTACACGTAAAATGTCAGTTCACAATTTCTTTTGAGACTGCATACATTCGTTTGATAACTTGAATTCAAAAATGCAGGTTCGCCTAAACAAAATAAATTATGAAAAAATAAACTGATATATACACCAAAAATAAATGTCAATAATAAAACCTTTAATTACAATTATAACACAATGTTGACTGCTGTACCCCTCTTTTTGTCATTTTTACTTATTATGTCTGATTGGTTTTTTTCACACATTGTTGACAATATAATGGAATTGTATGCGACTGTCATACAAGTTAGAATTCAACTAGCTATATAACCAGGTTTAATCCACCATTTTCTAGATGAGGAAATGCATGTACCAAGTCAGGAATATGATAGTTGTTTCCCATTCCTTTGATGTGTTTGGGCTTTTGATTTTGCCATTTGATAAGGGATTTTCCGATTTAAATTTTCCTAAGAGTTTGGTATCTTTGTTATTTTACCTTTTAAATATTTTAGGCAACTATTCTTCGTCAATAAGGAGTCATACCTTAATTACCTCCCTATTTAACAAAAAATCTGTTATAAGTATCTCGCACATATTGCAACCAACTTTTTCAACTAAAAACATATATCCGGGGATCTCAATATAGAGGACATCAGGTCTTAACCATATGATTGCCATGTACAAGGTTCCTATTCATATATCATGGCTGGCTACGTTATAGCTGGTGACGTCAACAACTCTTCTCTACGAAACGTGGAACCCAAATGACCGAAATACCTTGTGCTTATATCCCTAAACTGGAAACAGAAATTTAAAGTAGTAATGACATCAATCGAGGTTTATACAAGACAATGGACTAAATGCAAAGACGTAACCGTTGTCTCTGAATGGGTTAATGCTGTAAAGACGTTGTAAAAAATCTGAATTGTCTACCAACAGTAGTGCTTCCTCTATTTTTAAAGACCCAATTAAAGCTAAGCAGTTGTTGCCCTACCTCCTAGCATTACATTTATGTATTGCAACATTCCAGAAGCGTCTGCATATGAAGTATATGTTTTCAAGCTGATACGATATTTCAGGGCTAGCGTTTCCTAGTTTCCTATCATGATTCCCCTGTAGGCGGGTTGCTGCTAACAAGGACGCTTATGAACCAAGGGATCCAAAATGGTGTAGTTGAAGTCATCCCTTCGAAAGTTTTACAGATGGCATCAAGACTTGGTTGACCGTTATCGAATATGTGCGTCATAGATGACCATGGATATATTCAACTTGTCCAAACTACAATCCGGTACATTTTTCCTGGATTGTGATATCATCGAATGTATACTTGCAATGAGTAACACGACGGGTGCCCTTCCGGAGGACCCTTGCGTTAATCTCAGTTTTTGACAGGTTTACTAATAGTGTTTATCAATTCTTTATTTCCTGTTTAGTGTTTTGAGGACAGTTTATATATTCATTGTTTAAACTTTTTGGAATTGAGGTTTTTGTTGGACTTTTGAATTTTGAACGCCACTTTGGTATCGTCTCCCTCTTTTTGCAATTGAAAATCAATAATGATGTTCTACAGGATAATCATAAAGTGTTCAAAATACTAACGTATAATTTAATGTGCCAACGGATTGAACGTTCTCATTCCGCTGCTTCGTCGAATGTTATATTTACTTTTTTGAGATTTTATATTTTTGCTTAGTTTTTTCCATCTAATATATTTTTTTGTTTTAAATGACTAGAGTATGTGTCGTGCCATAATAAATAAGAAAAACAACTTCTGCTTGTTAGAAGAAATGAGAACATATGCATTAACTGTTTGACATGGGGAGATGTTCCATTTCGGTTTTTAAAAAGCCCTTGATAACTGGCGTTATCTATTGATGTTCATTTTTATGAATAAAAATAATGGAGGTGTGTGATAAACATAAGTCAATGTGACCATAAACACAGACACAGCCTGTCTCCCGTCTGGTTTTCTCAGTTCTTCATAAAATTGCATTGTTCAATTACGTAAGATATGTTCGACAACTTTAACCTGGATCTAAATATTCCAATCCTCATATTACCGACTTTCGACTCCGGATTATATAATTTTTCGACATGTTACCTAATATGTGATAGGATATCCTGTTACTCGGTCAAGTCACAGCAACGTAAAGAAGTAAAATCAAGCGTCCAATCGGTACAATTTTGAGGGGAAATTAACTGTTTTATGTATTCTATACACAACAAAATCATCGGAAAACAGTAAACTTTCCCCCAAATTGCACAGATTATTAGTTTGATTTTACTTATTTTGGTTGCTCTTACTTGATCGAATACCAGGATGTCCTACCGCAGAGTAGGTAACCTGTCGAGAAATTATATAGTAATCCGAAGGCAAAAGTCGGTAATATGAAAATAGATTATTACCTGGTATTATTATCAGACGAGATCCTGTTTGTTTCTTGTTCCCTTTACTGTCACGTATACCGTTGCTGGCTGTACACGTATATATACCATTTCTCATATAAGGATATTCTGTATTATCTAAAGTAAGCGTTCCATTTGCAAAACCATCGAGATAACGGATGTGCTCCCCATACTCTGATTCATGGTTCCATTTGTAGAACGTGTAAGTGTTTGGAACACCTCTTACGATACAATCGACAGAGTCTGATCTGTTGATTAACTGAATCTCTGGTGGGTCTTGTAAATTGAATTAAAATATAAAGATGTAAAAATCAATGATAAAGTCAGTTGATAATTTGCACGTGAGTGTTTTTGTTTACATGTTTTTAAATCTTTTGTGGGAGGACTAACTATTATCTGAAATGATTTGATAATCTGTAGAGTATATAAAAAATCAGAAAAATTTGTTTTTTAAAAGTGTTTAATATTAATGACCGAAAAGACATATTATTTAATTTGAGAAGCCCAAAGAGATATACATATATATATATATGTTCAGTTCAGTCTAGGTGGCAGAGTGATCTAGGGTGCTGGACACAGTGCAGATGGTGTTGTCTCGATATCCCAATAGCATGAGTTAAAATCCCGGCTAGCGAAGAACAAGAATTTGCTTCCGCAAATTTGCAGATTTAACATTGGTGTGCTGATATTTAGAGTAATTATGAATATAATATGTGTTTTCAGCCGTGTATCACCTTCACTGGTGATCCAATGGATGGATCTGTTGTAAAGTTGTTACTTGTTTAGACGTACTTATTATATTATGTCTTATATATTCATGAAATATTTGCCGCGTTAGACAAGTAACTATAAATTGATAATAAATATAAGAAGATGTGGTATGAGTGCCAATGAGACAACTCTCCATCCAAGTAAAATTTTATAAAAGTAAACCATTATAGGTCAAAGTACGGTCTTCAACACGGAGCCTTGGCTCACACCGAACAGCAAGCTATAAAGGGCCCCAAATATTACTAGTGTAAAACCATTCAAACGGAAAAACCAACGGTCTAATCTATATAAAAAACGAGAAACGAGAAACACTTATGAACCACATGAACAAACGACAACTACTTAACATCAGATTCCTGACTTAGGACAGGTGCAAACAATTGCAGCGGGTTTAAACGTTTTAATGGTACCAAACCTTCACCCTTTTTCTGAAACAATAGTGTAACATCACAACATAGAAAGACACACTATAAAATATCAATTGAAATGACTTAACTCAATCAAAGGACATATTAACACCAGTAAACATACACTGAACAAATAAATTTGACCTATGATACAATGTAAATACAAAATCAATAAACTAAGGGAAGAATAATAAAAGTAACATGTTATACCGCTATGAAATGTTAAACAATTTAAGAAAAACAATATGCTCGAACAAAAATATCAGCCATTTGCAATTACTTTGAACACACGTAAATGAAAATAATTTTGTTGTTAGCTATACGTGTACAGTTCAAATAGAGAAAGGAAATATTTTTACAAAATAAGCCGATTTGCGGTTCTTACGGTCACTAGCAATTTAGAACTAATCGGATTTTGATCGTTATCTCTGAGTCTGTTTCATGTAGGTATCGATCATATATGCATTTACTACTATTAGTTAAAAGCTCAAAGTAGGATATTTTTGAATCAGAGAAACATTGAGTTGATAATTACATTGAATTGTGACGGAAATTTCTGCAGACCCACTAATTACATCATTCTTTGCCAAACACTTATACTTCCCAGAATTCTCTCTGTCAGCTGACTCAATAATCAAAGAATCGCCTGTTTCGTTTATACTATACCAGTATCCATGCTGTGATAAGTTATACCAGAAAAAGGTAGAAGGTACAAAGGCTTGAGAGAAACATGTAATATTTAATATATCGCCTTCTATTACTGCTGTTTCACCATGTATTTGTACTATAAGATCATCTGGAATAAACAATTATATCAAGTAACAGGAATAAAAAAAAAACATTTTACACTCAGCGGACTTCCAGAAGCATTGAGATTGCATGTCATTGAGTTTTTCTACTCTCCGCCTTTTTAGTGGATAATTAGTTTATAAGCCTACGTGAGTTATGAGTAGGCCTCAAAATAATAATGTTAGATGATTCAGTGACAACTCTATTTTTATAAGGACACATATCTGGTAAAAAGACTATTTGATTGCTAAAAACATTAGTTAAAAGGATAATTCGAGGAGACCGAAATCCTTTTCTCTTGTAAACAGTGGTCAGAGTCGACAGTCAATTTGCGTATTATACTGATACAGGCTTATAAACATGGACACCAGGGAACACGAAAGGTATAAGACATTTAAGCAGATGTATGAATCAAAGTCGGTGTCCGATTGCTTTGCAAGTTTGCACCTTAAATTAGAGAGGATGTTGAAATTGTGAAAACAGAGGTCAAATTACTAATGGACATAGTAGAAAACCTTGATTCTTATTCACAACTTATGGAAGACATACACAACAGGTTCATCCCTGGTGTTGAAGAAAAAAACACATCGAAAGAAAATGAACGTCTAAAGCTGGAGAATGGGGCTTGAAATGAAACTTGGTGGTAAGTGGTGTGGTCAGAATCCCCTTGTCAGACAAAGTAACGTCCGATTTGCATGTCAGGGTTTTCTTTGAACACGACGGGTGCCACATGTGGAGCAGGATCTGCTTACTCTTCCGGAGCACATGAGATCACTCCCAGTTTTTGATGGGGTTCGTGCTGCTTAGTCTTCAGTTTTCTATGTTGTGTTTTATGTACTATTGTTTGTTGGTCTTTTTCTTTTTTAGCATGGCGTTGTCAGTTTATTTTCGACTTATGAGTTTGAATGTCTCTCTGGTATCTTTCGCCTCTTTTTTAAGAGATACCGAAGGAGAGCGTCGATGAATGTTGTTTCAGGCCGAGCATAGGCTAACATGAGCAGAGGAAAAGAAAAAAAAAGATCATTGTACGATTCTACAGCCTAGAAGAGATTCTGGCAGATGTGTAATCTAATCTAGATGTTGCAACACTACAACTCAACCTTTTAAATCAAACACGTGCATTGCCTCCCTCCGAGCATATACATTCGTTATGCTGAAAAACATAGACCATCATAACTAGACAACTTTGAGTTTTGGCTGACCTACATGTTTTAAGAGACTTTACCTTATTAAAAAAAATGTTCTCAAACAAAATTACATAAGGAAAATTCATAGTTTATTGTGTTTATTATTTTTATAAGATATATGATATATTGCAATGTATTTTTGACTTGTGTATTTTAAAACTGTCTGTGAATTGTATTTTAAAAGTTGACAACTTTTGTGTCCCAGTTTCTATGTACATGGTTAATTTGCATATAAGGTAGAGCATATTATTATACTTCATGTCAAAATGCCAGATTTTGATTGGTTAATACGAAGGAGACAATTTACTCTATCCCATGGCAAATACTCTATTACCCTTCACGGAGACGCTTGATCAAGTGTGCGCTTTATTAAATACGGATGATTGTTATGTACAAGATGTCATATTTTATTACTTTGAATTTGAAATTTAAAAACAGAAATAACAGAACATTCAGTATAATAAATTGAATAACACATAGCTGAGAGGGTGATAGAGAATATTGTTACCCCTCGAAAAGACATTGTCAACCTTGGCTTCGCCTCAGTTGACAATGTTTTCTCGGGGTAACAATCTGCTATATCACCCTCTCAGCTATGTGTTATTTATAACTTGTACCGAATGGATTAACTTAAGTTGTTTAGATAAAATATAAACACAGATCACATGATAATTTCCATCTAAAGGAACCACTGACTATTTCTCTTTCAAGAGTATTTAGGTATATCAGAAATACCATATTCGTTTAGATGTAAATAGTTTTCATAGGTTTTGAACGGCCACTGGTGGTCAATCTTGAAGCCCACATGTCATGAGATAATTCCCTTACGCTGTTATTTTTTGTGGCTTTTAAAAAAGCTCTACATATACATGTACTATAAATAAATAATCAGACGCATATTACGAGACATACCATTCTATGTCACTATGACCAAACTTTTCTTAGAACTAATGGACTCACTTGTTATATTTAGGACTGCCGTTTCTGTATGCAATTCACTGTATTCTTCATTTAACCATGCACAGCAGTACAAACCTTCATCTTCAAGTGTAACGTTATAGATATAAATCTGAAACCGATTTATCGTTCTGCTTTTTATCAAATTATATTTATCTCTGTTGTATTGATCTTTGTAGGCATAAAGAGAGAAAAAAGCAATTTGTTCACCAGACTCAAAGTCACATCTTACGTGGTACATGTCTGCCCTTTTGGTTTCCCATGTAAACGTCAGGAGGCCAGGTTTTTCTTTTGTAGCCACAGAAAAACAAAACTGCACTCCAAGAAAAACTATAAAAAGACATTGCACTGTTATAAATTGCTAGTTATGAATGTGAGAATCTTTCGCTTTGATTTTGTATGTGTTTGAAATTGACTGATTTTGATGATACATAATCTGATCAAAAGATAATCTATATGTCATATTTTTTCACATTTTAATGCCTGCGACAAAAAAAGGACACATTATTTTATCATGTTCCGTCCGTTCGTCTTAGTGTTTTTGGCAGAATGTTTGTTTGTTTTTTGTTTTTTGTTTTTTTTTTGGGGGGGGGGGGGGGTAAACTGAATGTGTGCATATTGTAAGGATTTGATTTCATGAGCACTCATAAACATGTTAGACCGCGCCAATTCATTGTCACGGATATCACGTTCAGTTATAACTATTTTACACGGAAATAAAATTTGAAATTGGAGTGCCTGACGATTGTTAATGTTGTTGTCAGCCAATCAAAATTATGAATTGTAATGAAATAAAAATATAATGTAATTATTAGCTAATATGTTGGTTAATGAGTGTATAAAAACAATCATGAACACTTGGTTTAAGTAGTGGAAATTAAGGGACATTTATAGTTCCTGCTTATTAATAAAGGTGTGATGAGAATTATTGTATTAATTATTAAATCGATTGACAACAAAAACTTGACCGCCTTGAATATTGTAAAAGGTTCACTTACTTCGTGCGATTCTAAATAATTTAAATAATCATATGACACACAATATCAAGATCCTATCTATACGTTTTCTTCCTAAAACTGATGTAAATAACTGACCTATTAATACACATGAACACTTGATGATCTGAAAAACAACATTGAAACATATTTAATATCATTCTGAAAAAATAACATTGTGCACAGCTAAATCGCGTAGATTTATGTTTAGTAAACCCAAACAGTCAAAATTCAACATCGTCAAAATAATCGCCACATTTTACAATCCTATTTTTTTAATCATGAAAATGGAAGCCATTGAAGAGATGACGCGCTGTAAATTTGGCTCATGAAAAACGATAAATTTATTCACACGTAATAATTGCGATTCTTATTTATTGTATTTTAAAAGACAAATGTATCTACTAGCTGTTACGAATCATTTTCTGTACTTTTATTACTTTTGTCAGTCTACAGCTATTGTGTGATTGGTTGTCGAGGGGGGGGGGTATAAAAGTTCAATAAAAGACTAAAAAAGTCCTATTTCAGTTAGTGGTACACTAAAAATTTGAAGACCCTAGATAACACACACAAAAATGATTTTTTTATGTTCATTTTTTAGATCCAAATTCAAGAGCTCTTGATAAAAATGTAAGGGATGTGAGCTCGAGTGAAAGGCGTGTTGAATGTCATGTCATGACTAAAATAATTAGAATGACGACTCTACAACAGATTTTTATCGATCAGATCACCAGCAGTGATGGTGATACAAGGCTGAATTATATATGCAGAATGTATTTTCAGCCTTGTATCACCATCAGGCATCACTGCTGGTGATCCGATGGATAAAATCTGTTGTAGAGTCGTCACTGGTTCAGACGTACTTATAATATAATTAATTCTGTGACTGAGTCTTACATTAACTTGTAGGATCCTTTACAATAGATAATTCAGCTGATCTGTAACAATTCCATCTTCATGCCTTATATATCATGTACTATGTTACGATGCTAAATAAAAACTGACGAGGAAAGGTAACACCCGGCCCCCGAAAGCTTTATTATTATAGAGCCTAGGTGGTCGAGTTGTCTAGCGCGTCGGGCATAGTGCATGGCGATTTGGTGCCACGATATCTCAGTAGCATGAGTTCGAATCCCGGCCAGGGAAGAACAAAAAATTTGCTTCCGCAAATTTACAGATATAACATTGTTGGGCTGTTGTTTAGACGAATTATATATATATATATATACATATATATATATAACCAGTCTAAAGGGGTACAACATCACCAAAAAATAACAATAAAATGAACAAATGTAACTATAAATATTTTGGATAACAGATATCCTTCATCAGTATGATCACGATGTAAAATGAATCTTATCAACCTATTCTGATTATAAAACTATAGCAATCTTGAATTCTATACAAAAAACAGTTTTATCAGAACATCATAGAGACGCTAGTACAATTCTAGAATTTCCAAACACGGCGCAACGACATACCTAAAATAAAAATAGTAATAATTTGCGATATGAGCTTGCACAACTTTAAAATTCCAAAGGTGACGACAGTTAAGATGTTACAACAACTGCGTGGAAATACAATTCAGCTTTCGGTGACCTAGTGTTACCTTTCCTCGTCAGTAGAATCTAGAGTTGTAACACAGTACATGATATATTAGGCATGAAGATGGAATTGATTGCAGATTATCTAAATATCTATCGTAAAGGATCGTAATATACAGTCACAGAAATAATTATTTTGATAAGTACGTCTAAACAAGTGACAACTCTACGACAGATCCATCCATTGGATCACCATTGAAGGTGATACACGGCTGAAAACACATATGATATTCATAATCACCTTTAATATCAGCACAACAATGTTAAATCTGCAAATTTGCGGAAGCAATTTTTTGTTCTTCCCTCGCTGGGATTCGAACTCATGTTATTGGGATATCGAGACAACACCGCTTGCACTGTGTCCGGCGCTCTAGACCCAACACGGCCACCTAGAACTTATAATTCAGCCTTCGGTGGCCTAGTGTTACCTTTCCTCGTCAGTAGAATCTAGAGTTTTAACACAGTCCATGATATATATTAGGCATGAAGATGGAATTGATACAGAAAAAAATAAGTAAAAACAGCTAACAAAAACATTTTTAAAAAGTACCGATCCGAGAATACTCGCAGCTACTGAAAGCTAGCTAGTTCCAAGCCGATTTAAATAACAACTAATACAAAAATCATGCATCTAAGACAAAATACCAATCAGTACACATCTAGTGGATTAAGTGTAAAGACGTCATAGACAGTGTTTGTTTTATTATAATAATTCATACTGTACGACAAATCAAAACTGATCACTACATACTTAGAAAAATAAACACCACTTAAAAAAGAGGTATCATATTTCGATTGACGTCCTGCAAGTTTGGCAATACATATACCTTTCATCGGTTAACTTTAGCTGTAAAGGAAAGCCTTTCTCATATAATAAATTGATTAAATTATACATAAATAATTATAAATTTTACCATTGCATACGAAGTGTTTCCTCAATTCTCTACAAACATGACAATGAATACTAAGTTTCCGGAATCATTATAAATAAAATATAATGATTCAACATTTCTTTATTCAAAAATAAGTTAATATTAAACTGTTTCAATAAACAAACATCTCAATAATGTTAAAAGAAAACGGTCTAATCACTACAGGATAAAAATATAATTGATTGAATGAATGATATACCTCGACAAATTTTGTCAAAAATAGCACATTGAAAAATAGTGAAAGGCCAATAATATAGAAAAACTATGTGTTTTGTCAGATGTGTTAAGTACATGGGAAACCAATTCTAAATCCCAGTCAACCATAGGGGTTGGTTTGCAGAGAAACAAAATGATATTTTAAATTATAAAAATGTAAGGATTCTAACCAGTTCAAAAGTGAAAATCTTACCGGATCTGTCTTCGTTATGTATTTTGATATTTGTTGAATAGGTGGACTTTGGAGTAAAAATGGTTATTTCAATAAAAATTTTTGAATTAAAAGGTTGTCACGCAATGGCTCGGTGACTTGTGCTGTCACGAATTCCGGATCTGCCTCAAAAACCTTCAATGGTGCAAGCTCGTGAGAAGATTTCCTTTGTACTTGCACGATAATTGAGTAGCAAATACAAGATAACATTTTTTAACATGGCCTTGAAGCACATTTTTCAGTGTTTTAAATGCCCAACTCCTTGATAAAACTTTTTTTTTAAATAATTCATTAATTTCAATACATTCGTCCGCCATTTCAGTGCTTTGCCTTGATAACGTTGTTCCTTTTGTGTAGTTCACATTCACATATCTTCTTGTTATGTTGTTGGTAATCAACCATTTAATTTACACCTAAGAAGACAACTTGTCGTTTAACAACAATTCTTATAATAAACATTCTATAATTATTAGCTGGTTTCTACTATTCCTGATCTGTTAAAAAAGAGGCGCTGATTTAGCTGTGCAGGATATATAAATAAGCAGCCAAGTGCGGTCGGAAGGAGGTCAGACGTAATACCCGATACCTTATCTATGGAGCGTCAGACTTCCTCTGAAAGCTGCATAATTGTTTATTGCAAGGAATTATTTCAATCCTATCCAAACTACCCTCATTTTCTAGTAGCAGTAATATCTTTTAGCACATAACTTTATTCCATGGATGGTGTCCAATTAAGTAAATATTATTACAGACCTTCGAGCAATGAGAGTTAATCGGAAAACTTAGAGCAAAATAATTGAGCTCTTGTCGAAGAAATAAATAAATATTCGAGGTCCCATACATTTGACAAGTCACTTAGGTATGTAAATTCATTTTTTTTTCTTTCTTTACTTTATTAAGTTTTAATAATTGTCACACAATTATTGTATCACGACCTTTTAAATATTGAATAGATACAAGATCAAAAGCCGGCCATAAACCAGAGATACAAGGATGCTACTATTCTTGTATCACTGGAACAAACTTCATTCCAGAGGTGACACAGCGGAAACAACTCTCCAAAATTGTACCTAAAGGCTAGGGTTGACAGTTGATCCAACGCTTTCTTTGTTTCAATGTGTAAATAACTCTTCATTGCAATATTTTGAAATAAAATACCCCAGAACTATGATTGATTGATGTTTAGATAACGTCCAGTATATTCAGGACGATAACAAATTAACAGAAACCCCAATATGCAGTCCTTCAAAATGGATGACTGGGATGAAAGGCGCGGAGCCACTGAAAATTGAGGGCCATTGGATAGGGACAAAAATTGTGGCTTGCTACGGAACCCTTAGTGAAATGTTGAATGGATATTTCGACGTACAGGAAATTAGTAATAGCCTTGTGGTTGATTTACGCTTGACGTGGCTGTGTATTTATACATCTCGTACAGACAAACGGACGCTCCTCTTTAGCATGGGTTTTACTACAGGATTAGAGATAACCATATGTATAATCAAAGATCTGAAAGCTCTGAG